TCGTGTGTCGTCGTCGTGTGTCGTGTGTGTGTGTGTGTGTGTGTGTGTGTGTGTGTGTGTGTGTGTGCGAGAGAGAGCGAGAGAGCGATCAGCGATGCAACCAAAACACAACTCATCAAACGCTGTCACACCTCCACTAACTTGCCCCTCCCCTTTCATCCCCACGTGCACTCTGCCTGACATGGAATGGGGCAGTGTAGGTGGTGCCGGTAGATAGCGGTGCACAGCAGACTGCGCGTGCGGTATTTGCGGCAAGGACAGCCCCGAGAACGGCGTCTGGTGGTGTTCGCGGTGCATGCAAGCAAGGTTGTGAGTTGTGAAAGCACATCATCGGCAGAGTGTGCAAGCGCTTGTGCGCGTAAATGCATTCGAGGCGCGTGCGTACACATGTATGTGTGTGTGTGTGTGTGTAGTCAAGTGCAGCGATGGAACTCACTTCGCCAAGGGACACCACCTCCCAAAACGTCACGCCACAGCTCCTGTGAAGCAGGTGGAAGTGGGCACACGTGTGAGTGGTAAACACAAGCAAAGGACCCACTGCATCACTAACACAATCTCTCTCTCTCTCTCTCTCTCTCTCTCTCTCTCTCTCTCTCTCTCTCTCTCTCTCTCTCTCTCTCTCTCTCTCTCTCTCTTGTGCCTGCAAGCAAGCGGTACATGCATGCAAGCAACTGCTCCGTACCAGACGTCGCTTGCGATTGACCACTTGTTGTCCTTCACACTCTCCGGTGCCATCCACGCCATCGGCAGCGCAGTGTCGCTCGTCTGCCGGCGAAAGGGGGGGGGGGGTGGAGATGTTAGGAGGGTGATATGTGCAGCGGGGGTAATGTGGTGTTGTGATGACGACGACGTGTTGAACGCAGCAAGAGGTTGGAACAGTCAAGCATCCATGAAATGGTGCGCTCACGCAAACACAGCTGCATACACACACACATACACACCTACACACATACGCATACACGGCTGCGTACCATGCGGTAGTAGTCTGCTTGCATCAGGTAGCGGGCCATTCCGTAATCGCTGATTTTGACAGTGGCAATGGATTCGCCCACGAGGACGTTGCGACAGGCCAAGTCTCGGTGCACAATGCTGTCGATGTAGCAGACGCCACATGTGGGCAATGAAAGGGTGACGCCGGTGGACAACGCGATGTGTGAGAAAGATGCTTCAACAACATGGACATTGACGGTGCACATCCTTGTCGTCGGGGTCATGATTAAGGGCGTGTTTAGGAAGCAGTTACAGCCCTTGCATGATACGGAACAGAACCCTCACTTGTTTGACGCGAGAAATGCCATGCCGTCCGCAATGGAGATGCAGACATCCAGCAGCTGCATGGTGAAATAGCGTGGGCAGCGACGGGCAGTGAGTGGAGGATAAAGATTATACGTGTGTTTGTTTGTTTGCTTGTGTGTGTGTGTGTATTTGTGTATGCGTGCGTCGGTTTGGAGCGTTGTGTTTCTGCATTGTCATGCACTTGCTCATGCACGTGCTTCAGTGCTCAGCACAAAGGCACACAAGGCACTTACACATGTGTACACATACATGCACATTCGCATGCACACGCACACACGCACATACACGCGACCGCACCTGTCCCCATGTGAGCGGGCATGGGTTGATGGTGGCCCGTGCGCGCAAGAAACTGAGCAGCGACAACGACAACGTCGACAGTGACGATGACGATGGTGGTGCAGGAAGGTGGTGGTAGGTGGCAGTGTGGCAAGGGTGGGGAGCATTGCAAACATGAGAGGTGAGTGTGCGTGAATGACACAGCACAAGGCCAGTGCATGTCAGTCCATCAAAACAAGCCAGTCAACCAATCAAAATGTGAACGTGCTGGTACAAGTGCAACTGTTGTCCACTCACTCCCTCAAATTGCCGTTGCGCATGAGTTCAACGACGATGAGTGGGGGTGCGCTGTCACCGGTGACCACGCCAAGCACCTGCACCAGGCACGGGTGGCTGCACATGGCCAGGACGAGGAAGATGAACGTGAGGTTAGGGAAGGGATGCAGTGGTGGTGGTGGTGGTGGTGGTGGTGGTGAAGATGAGATCAAGGTCGTGGTGAAGGTGGGATCAACTGTGGTGAAGCTTCACTTCACGTCCCATCAGCTGCAGCCACTGTCAATGGCATGCAACTGTGGACAGATTGGGGACTGACCTGAGGACGGCCATGATGTGTGCTTCGACGAGAAACGACGCCTGCTCCTCCAGCGATGCGCCGCTCCCCGCCATCATCTTCACCGCAACCGAACTGATGCCCAGTGCAAGGTGGGAGGGAGCGCGGGGAAAGGGGGGGGGGGTGTGAACTACAGATGTATTGTACTCTTGGCTTCTCTCTAGTGACAACACACACATGCATACACATGCATTCACACATGCACACACACACATGCACACACACGCACATATGCGCACAAGAACAGTATGCAGAGTGCACGTACGTTTGCACGCCCTTCTTGTTTGTCCAAATGCCCTTTCGCACAACACCGAAGGCACCGCGCCCCAGCTCCTCTTGCAGCGACACAGAGGACCTGCACACACACACACGCACACAATGGTTACACGAGGCATGAATAGATGAACACACCACCACCCACATACAAACATGTGTCATCATGCAACCAGACCACATCACCCTCCCCTGTCCTCATCACACCACACCACACCAGACCTGTCGATGTGCTGGATGCGGTGTCGCCAGTCCTTGCTGCCGCCGCCGAGTTGCGAGATGACCACATTGCATCGCTCGAGCTCGTGCATCACCCGCGACTGGTGGCGGTCCAGCAGCCCGAGCGCTGCGGCGGTTGCGGCCTGGCGACGCCTGATGATGATGATGATGATGATGATGATGATGATGATGATGATGATGATGATGATGATGATGATGATGATGATGATGATGATGATGATGATGGTGGTGGTGGTGGTGGTGGTGGTGGTGGTGGTGGTGGTGGTGGTGGTGGTGGTGGTGGTAGTGGTTACGTGAGAGGGGAGATAGTACGGGCTTACACGTGTTGTTGAGTTGCTTGCAAGTGAAAGGCCGGAAGCAGACAGAAGTAAACATATGGGCAAAAGCCCCATTCTCACACATACCGGTACATGACGGTGACAATCACAGCAGCAACGAGCGTCAATACCAGCACTCCAATGACAATTCCGATGATACTCCCTGTCAGAGAACAAGTCCGGTGAATATTGACACTGTTGTGAGCAGCAAAGCGTCACACACGCACGCACACACACAGACACATGCACACACACACGCACGCACGCACGCGCACGAGCACAGTTCATCTCACGGCGTTGTTGGGTTGGCACCTGTTGCGAGCGATGACGACGACGACGCGGGAAGAGAATCGCCCGTGCACGACAGCTCAACATCTGCCGTACACACACACACACACACACACACACACAGACACAGAGAGAGAGAGAGCGAGAGAGGCAGAAACACACACACACACACACACGGAGAGAGAGCGACACACACACAGGCAGACACACACACGCATACAGAGAAATACACACAAAGTCAGACTGAAGGAAGGAAATATGCCAACCAAGTACAAGTGCATGCAGAGCAATGAACGACATGATTGTCTGCTTGCAGGCACCTGGATCGTCACGGCAGAAGAATGACCATGAATCGCCAGTGCACAGAGCAACTGCGTCCTCCTCGTCAGTGCAGGTCACGTTGCAGTAGGCTGCACCCTTGCTCTGCCCATGGTTGGTGTGACACGTGCCGGCAGCGGCAAGGAATACAGGTGATGGTTGACTAATTCCATTTAACAGCTGGCATGATGTACACACACACACACGCACGCACGCACACACACACACACACACACACACACACACACACACACACACACACACACACGCACAGACAGCGGCGTGCTCACGTTGGGTGACGGGAGGTTTGAGCACGAAGGGCTGAGGCGGGTGAGCGAGGCAGCACCGCCGCAGTCGTCGCCGACATCAGCGCACGGATCAGCGCTCCATGCGCCCGTGGCGGTGCACGTGATGGGGAAGGGGGCGATGCGGGAGTTGATGCAGTCGGGTGTGCACGTGCTTGCAGGCACGAGGGAACAGTGGGAGGCACGGAATGCTGAAGACGATAATGGCGGGGATAGCATTGGGAGCCGTGGTGCAGCAGGGATGGCAGTGTGAGAACAAGGCGGCAAGTCGTGTCACTGATTTGAGGGAAGCAATCGCGCATGTTTACGTTTCACACACCAGCAGGTATGCAACACGCAGGCACATACACACTCACACACACACACACAAATCACCTTCAAACACACAACGCGCACACAAACCACACACACATACATACATACACACACAAATCACCTTCAAACACACAACACACACGCTTGCACACGCAAATGCGTGCTACTAGTGAACGATACTTGATGTCATGTCTGGGCAGAGGGTGGCGAGAGGCGTGGGTGTGATTGGTGCGGACGATGACGACGGCTGTGACGAGGTGGCCGTCGAGAGGGACGCTGTTGCAGACACGGATGCATTGAGCCCGAGCCAGCTGCCGCCAACAACACGATAGAGCTCATTGCACTGCAGCACAAACACGGGACCCTCATCGCCATCGCGCGCAGGGACGATGGAGCGCACCCGCACGAAGCCGCCATCAACCTCGAAGCTGATGGTCAAAGGGCAACGAATGCAGAGATTGCGGTGGCGATGAGACGTCATGTGATTGGAGGGAGAGGTGATACACTTGACACACGCCAGCGTAACGACACGCCACAACTACACACACACACACACACACACACACACACACACACACACACACACACACACACACACACACACACACACGCACACACGCACACACACACACGCACGCACACACACGGCTTGCTCGTGCACCTGAGGCTGGTCCATGAGCTGATGCCACTGCTGACGGCGTCGTCGGCGATGGAGCCGAGACCAACAGCGCAGTTGTCGCACGCATTCGGGTGCGACTCAATTGTCACGTGTCCGCTGGCAGTAGTGAGGAACAACTGCCCGCGACACGTGATCTCGCACGGCTCCGAGCGATGGAAGGACGAACATGGCGAGTCCTCATATGCAACGAGGTGTGCAGTGCACTGCTGCTCGTCCCAGCCGTCGGCACAGTCTTGCACGCCATCACACAGCTGCTGCGCCATGACCGTCCCGTTCCCATCTGGACACGCGATTGGCTGCAGGTCCAGACACGACGGCACGCCCGTGTACCCGTTTGCACAAGCGCACATGACCAGGCGCTCACCATCTTCGAGTTGCAGTGTGCAGACGGAGGGGTTGCCGCTCATGTGCAGCGCCTGCGCAATGCTGGACCAGTACTGGCTGTACCGGCTGAACGACAGGTCAAACGCAAACGTGTCGACAAGGGCGATGTTGTTGTCGCGGATGTCGAGGAAGGTGAGCAGCGGCTCCTGGTTGAGGGCGCCCGCATGCAGGTGTGTCAGCGAGTTGTTGCGCAGGTGCAGCTGGGCCAGCTGTTCACAGTCACCGAGCTCAGCCAGGTCCAGGGTGGTGATGGCGTTGTGCAGGGCAGAGACGGAGCGAAGACAGCAGTCCGTGATATCGGCTGCAGCCACCTCCAGCGACACCAGTGCGTTGTTGTCGAGAATGACATGCGTTGCGCGCTGCAGTCGTCGCCACGGCAGCGGCTGCTGTTGGAGCCACGCTCCGTTGCCTCGCAGGTCAACGGTCAGCCCGGCAGCGGCCGGTGCAGGGCACGTCGATCCACCCGGCACGACGCGGCGCAACAGGTCGTCGAGAGCGGTGGCGCTGCCCGTGGCGGCACCCGTGACAGCGAGGACTTGCAGCCCCGGGGCAACCTGCCCATTCCGTGCGAGGGCCTGGGCCACGGCGGCTGCGTCGTTATCGAAGCTGAAGTGTTCCTGATTCTCCAAGCGGAGCTCCAGCAGCTGCGGCAGAGCGTACAGCAGGTGCGCTGGGAGCTGGAACGAGGTGCCATTGGTGCCGAGCGTGTCTTGTGTGGCGATGGTGACGTGCGTCACAGTCGGGGAGATGCCAGCTAGCTGATTTGGTGTGACGACGGCTGGGTCACAGGATACCCTGGTGTTTGACTCGGAGCACGTGCAGAGGGCGCAGATGGCATTTTGCATGCACGTTGATCCCTGCACGACCCATGCATCACCGTTGCTAAGTGAGGCGCACACGTATTGCGCGTCCACGTTGGGGTTTGCGGGGCACGACAGCGCACACGCAGCGCCAACCGTGGTGTCCGGGCATGTCATGGGTGCGAAGCCAGGCACGCTCTCGGGGCACGCGGCCGAGCACAGCAACGACGGTGTCGATGGCGAAGATGGCGAGATCACCAGTGAGTGCAAATCAAGCAAGATTACCGGCACCACCACCAGAGACAGCAGCACGCGCCCAACGTTGACGATTGGCCGCTGCCACTGCCACCGTGTGCATCGTCGTTGTCGCCGTCGTTGCTGCTGTTGTTTTTGGTGTTGTTGCTTCTGCTGCTGACGATGGTGTTGTTGTAGGCTTGTTGTGTGAGTGGTCATGGCCGTCATTTGCTTTCGGCGCGCCCACACTCACGGCAACCGAGAAGAGCGGGGAGGGGAAAGACTAAACGTTGGAGACACCGGCGATGAAGAAGTAGAAGAAAACGAAGCAGCAAGGGAGCGACTGATGTTGGTGGGTGTGTTGGTGGGGGTGGGTGTCTCTTCTTCTTCGTGCAAGCTGCTGCAGGCGGCTGCCTGTTGTTCCTTCGGAGGAAGAGCCAGGCAGGACCGCGGGGCGGTTGTGGAGAATTGGAGGAAGATATTAACGGCTATCGACAGCAGCAACAACGAAGGCAGCGATGGGCGGCTGTGGGAGCAGACCAAGTGGCGATGATGAGGATGCGTTGGGGTTGGACGTGGTGATGGCTGCGGTGTGTGGGGAGGACAACGAAGATGCACAGAAACCACGCATCATGACACAACGGCCGACGATGGGCAAGCCGCTTTGCTCAACAGCAAAACCTGCTGGCGGTGATTTGACGCTTCACACCGGCAGCTACATGGATCAAGGTGTGTGTGTGTGTGCATGTATGTGATTGTGTGTGTGGTGTGATTGTGTATGTTTCTGTGTGTTGTGCGCGTGTGTGTATTGTGTCATTGTGTGTTGAGTATATGTGTGCGTACACACGCACACACGCATACATTACTGTGTGGTGTGTTTGTGCGCCGCTGTGGCTATGCTACACGATCTTGTGTCACCGAGCTCACTGTGGACACGCTCGCTCTCGCAGGGTACAAGATTCAGTGTTTGGTGGGCAAGCTGCAAGTTTCAAAAGACAACAACCAAGAGGCATTGAAAGCCATCGTGCAAATGGTGCGCCGCAATGGACCTTGTCGCAAGTGCTCGCGTGTGCTTGTGCTTGTGGGCGTGTGTGTGTGTGTGTGTGCTGTTGCGTATGTGAGAGCAAACATGGGTTTGTGGCTTTGTTAGCGGTTGATTGGGGTTGTTGTGTTTGTCATCTCTTCTCTGCTCACTCAATACTGCACATGCTTTCTTTCGCAATACAGGCGCAAGTGCAGGATACGCACGTCTTGAAACAGATTGGCTTCTTCCCATCAAACAAGGCACTCTTCGTTCTGTTTGAGGTCTGGATTCAACCACTCGTCATGTATCGCATCGCCGAGCCGTTCAAAGTTATGCACACACGCACACACACACACACACACACACACACACACACACACACACACACACACACACACGCACGCACGCACGCAGAGCAGCAGCAGCAGCATCACCTACGCTCAGACGCTTTTCTTGTTGTTTCTATTCTGTCGCTCACTCACTCGCCACACCTCTCTGCGCTGGTTTGTAGAATGGCGACAAGACCCTGCTGGATTATCTGAAGGAGAAAGGGGACAGCCTGTCGCTGAAGCAAAGGCTGAAGATATTGGCAGACATATCTGATGGCATGGCCGCCCTTGATGACGCCGGATTTGCGCACGGAAACCTCAGCGTACGTGTACCAGCGGCTGTCTGGTTGTGTATGTGTGTGTATGTGTGTGTGTGTGTGTCTGTGTGCGTGTGTTTGCATTTGTGTGCGCGCGCGCGTGTGTGTGTGTGTGTACCTGTGTGCTTGCATGTGTGTCTGTGTTCGCATTTGTGTGTGCGTGTGTGTGTGTATGTGTACATACGTGTGCACGGTTGAGTGCATTGTAACACACGACTGTTTGCTCACCGCCCGCCAACGTTGCAACTCTTCGCACCCCAACCTCCCTCCCCTTTCTCTCGCACAAACACACCGCTCACACAACAACACCTGCACGTGGGAGCAGTGTGCGACGTGTGTGGTTGAGACGAGTCCGCTTGCCTTCAAGGTTGGGCCGTGGGCCGGACGCTCGGTCCTCAACGCCATTCGCACCGCGCCCGAACTCCTGCAGGACGGTGCTGACGACGCCGCCACCAGCCACGCAGATGCATGGGTGTGTGTGTGTGTGTGTGTGTGTGTGTGTGTGTCTGTGTGTGTGTGTCTGTGTGTGTGTCTGTGTGTGTGTGAGTGTGTGTGTGTGTGTGCGCGCATGTATGCTCCTTGTACGTTTGTGTATTGGGCTCACTTTTCCCATTTCACTTGTTGTGTTGCCGCTGCTGCTGTTTATGCTGCTGCTGCTGCTGTTCATGCGCGTGTGTGCGAAAGGCGTTTGGGGTGCTGGTGCTCGAGGTGTTTGGCTGCGGCGTTCTGCCTGTTGATGACCCCGACAATGACGAGCTGTGGCGCGACAAGATCACGGCAGGCGACGTCACCCTCCCGACAGATGCGCTGCCAACCGCTGTTGCCGCTGTTGTTGATGCGTGTTTCGCTGCGCCAGACAGCAGACCAGACTTTTTCTGGCTCCGGGCAGAGTTCCAGGTGTGTGTATGTGTGTGTGTATGTGTGTGTGTGCGCGCGCATGCGTGTGTATGTCTGTCTGTTGGTCGGTCTGTCTGTCTGTGTGTCTGCGTCTCTTTCTCTCTGTCTCTGTGTATCTGGAGAGATCCCATGCTTCTACGTCCGTCCCATCACATGACTCACCTCAGCCATCAACTTCACCGCCACCACAACAGGACCAGTATGAGCAGTGCACATGACAGCGTTGCCTCTGTACGTGTGTGTGTGTCTGTGTGTGTGTGTCTGTCTGTGTGTGTCTGTGTATGTGTGTCTGTGTGTCTGTGTGTGTATGTCTGACGTTTGTGGAATCGGGCCCTCTCCCTTGTTTTGTTCAGAATTGCTTTTCATCTCGTTACGTTACAATTGCACGAGTTTCGCTTCCGTGACTTTCCCTTGCTTAGCGATGTATTGGCTGAGCGCGTGAACGTGCGCGTGCATGTGTGCATGTGTGTGTGGGTGTGATAACAGTGAACAGTGAACGGTGAACAATGGGATTGTAACGACAGAGAAAACTGCTTGCCAAGAGGAAGAAGAGCAAAGGATAACGGGCGGGGAAGTGCATGTGCACACGCAACAGCAACAGCAACAGCATCAGCGTGTGTGCGCGCGCGTGTGGATGCGTGACGGCACACGTGCTCAGCTGACACAGTGCACGTGCGTTTCCGTGACGTCGCTGGCGCCATCGTGGTTGAAACAAGTGCCAAACCACGGCTGCCGCACCCCTTCAAACGTCACAAGGATGTTCTTGAGCGTCTGTTGTGCATGCGTGGGTGCGTGCGTGCGTGTGTGCGTGGGTGCGTGCGTGCGTGTGTGTGTGTGTGTGTGTGCGTGCGTGCGTGTGTGTGTGTGTGTGTGTGTGTGTGTGTGTGTGTGTATGTGTGTATGTGTGTATGTGTGTGTGAATAAAAGGGTGTTTTGGGGGGTGGTTGTGAGTAGCAGTTGGACAAGCAAGCCCGAACACCAACAAAAAACAAAAAACAAAACCAGCAGCAGGACGCGCGACCACGTCGACTACCACCACCACCACCACCACCAGTGCAAGAAGACTCACGGCCTGCGTGCGCTCGAAGTAGAAAGCATCTGCCTGTGCAATCTTTCGGCAGTAGTACGAGCACGTGGGCCCGTCGCGCGCTGATGAAGCACACGTGGGCAACGCGGTGGGATGTGACAGTGAGTGTTGGTACAGTAAAGAAACTCTGCAGTGACTGCCAATAGCATGCACACACACAAAAACGCACACACACATACAATCACAAGCAGAGCACACACACACACACATACATACAATCACAAGCAGAGCACACACACACACACACGTACAATCACAAGCAGAGCACACACACACACACACGCACAGAATGACACACACACACACACAATTCTTCGGACCTGATGGGCGCCTGTCGTGTGTTCCCATGCAAGGGATTGCGTCATACACGTGATCGGCTGCGAAACATGGTGGCCCTTCACCAGAGCTGCACAATGCAAACATGGCCCACAATGAGAGTGTGTACTTGTATTCGTGCATGCGTGTCCGCAAGTGGCAGGAGAGCACATGAGCAAGAACGCAGAAAATGCCGGAACAAGTTAGTTATGTGACTACGACCACGACAGCAGCCGGTACAGCGATGGACCTGTAGTTGCCAAAGAGAACGACGGTGAAATCGACGTTTGTGAACGTGATGTTCGAGATGCCGTGCGCGGCGCCGCTGACGAATATTCCGTTTTCCGCTGTTGGGGGCAGGGCAGTGCAGCCATACGCAACACATGCAGTACACATTGTTGTTCGCGTGAGGCGTAGATGGTGGTGGTGGTGGTGGTGGTGATAACACAGCAGCGGACCGGAATGCCAAGCGCAGATGCGATGTGGATTGGAAGAAAACACGGGGACACTAGCACAAGCACACTCACACACACACACACTCACTCAATCACACACTCACACACTCACTCACTCACGCACACACACACTCACACATTCACTCACACATACACACACACACACACACACACTCCCACATTGGGCGCTGATGTTGAAAAAGTGGATGTCGTGGATGTTGCCGACAGGTGGTCCGCCCGCCCGCCGCTCAGATGTGATCACGATCGGCTCGCCGTTGCCCCACCTGGCACCGAAGCACGCACGTGCACAATGTCAATGAGATGTGTGTGTGGGGGGGGGGGTAGGTGGGCGGTGTAAGTGAGTGAGCAGGTGTGTGAATCTGTGTGTGAATCTGTGTGTGAACCTGTGTGTGAACGTCAGGGCATCTGTGCCGAGCGAGTGCTCACCAGCGTGGGGCGCTGTAACGTGTCTGGAGACCAATGTTGGACCAGGTCACGTTGTAGATGCTTCCCTGACATGACACACGCGATGGACAAGGAGTGTGAATATGGTGTGGGGAGGATGGGTGCAAGTTTCATACCATGCGATGATACATGCACGCAACTGCACACACATACACAACATCAACACTCACACACACACACACACACACACACAACACTAGCACACACAACACTCACACTCACACGCACTACACTAGCACACACTACACCAAGTGCAGTGCAATTGTGAACGAACGTTTGAGCGCTGCTGGATGGCGAGGCCGCTGTTCGTGTCGAGGATGGCAATGTGGTCGAACAGAACGTTGTACATGTCCTCGTCCGTGTTGCTGCCAAACTTGATGGCGTGGCTCTGGCTGCGGATCGAGCAGTTGTGCACATACACATTCGCCAGCGGGCCCATGCCCGCCGTCGACTGGTAGCAGCACCAACCCGCACACACGAAATCAGGACACACACACACACACATCACACGTGCACGCAGTGTTTACGCGCGCACATTGAGCGTCTGTGAGCCTCAGCAATCATTGGGGGAAGGAGAAACAGGTGAGATCAGCCATGGGGAGTTCCTCCAACTTCAAATACAACCTCAAATACAACCCCATGATATCGCCTTTCGTCATCCCCATCCTTGTTCGCCCTCGCTTGGGGCATCATCGTCACCTTGAGACAGATGCCGTCGTCTGCAACGTCGATGATGGAGTTGCGGATGGTCACGTCGATCGAGCTGTCGGGGTCAATCCCGTCGTTGTTCGGGAACCGCGAGTCGCCGTGGATGTACACGCTGTCCACTGGCAAACGTGTACACGCGCACGCACACAAGAAGGGCGGTTCGTGGTGTGTGAATCAGAGTGCACGATGTGACATGCGTGAACGTGTCTTGTTTCTCAGCCGCTAACGCTCGGTACTGGTTGCGCAATGATGAGGTGGATGCATTTGTGCTGTGCAACAGCAACAACAGCAGGAACAGCAACGGCAGCAGCGTACCGAGGACACGGCGGCTGGCTTGGATGTGCACGTGCCAATCAGATGCGTTCAGCACCGAGATCTCACGCAGCACCACGTCCGTGGCGTTGTGCACTGAGGGGTATAAAGTTATGTGTGTGTGTGTGTGTGTGTGTGTGTGTGTGTGTGTGTGTGTGTGTGTGTGTGTGTGTGTGTGTGTGTGTGAATTCGTGAACGATGGAGTGCGAAGACAGTGAGGCATTTGTGAGTGTGAGAAGCAAATGAGTGTGAAGCAGGAAAGCGTGCGCACTTGTACAAGTTCGTGTCGGTGTGTCCTTTTTCAGTGTCAAGCACTGTGTGAGTTGCACGTTACTGAGGACATACTCAGCACACCCGATTGCATGTCACATCGACGGCTGTGAAACTCACTGAAGATGACGCGGGGGCGAGAGCCGTCGGGTTTCGTTGGGTTGAAGCGGTTGTCCTTTGCGCTGTACGAGGCAATGTAGTGCTCGGCGTTTCCGTACAGCGTGCCGCCGCCTTCCACAGTCACATTCTGGACATGCTCAAGGTGCAGGAGGGCGTGGGTACAGTTTGGCACGGAGCTCAGCAGCCGTGCCTGCTGTGCAATGAAAAGCACTGAGTTGCTTGGAGCATACACGTCCGCCACAGTGAAGTCTCCGCCCTAACGCGGAAGCGTTGTAGGTGTGTGTGTGTATGTGAAGGGGGGAGTTGTTGGTGAGTGGCCGTGTTGTTGTGCGAGTGAACTTTGGGCGCATGCAAGCACACACAAACACACACACAGTCACAACAGCCTCCTGTGCCCAGTTGACCCATGTCCACGATCACACACACACACGCACACTGATGCAGACACAGCACATAGAATACACACACTCTCTCATCAACACACACTCTCTCACGCTCATACTCCACCCCAAGTCACCCTCTGACACACACACACCTGCACGCAGACTGTGCCAGTGGAGGCCACGGCGGCGTTGAACGCACGGTGCATGGCCAGTGTGTTGTTCAGCCATGCCTCGGGGTCACCGGCAACAGCACCAAAGTCGCGGGGATCCTTGCATCCGTGTGGAACCTCAACAGCAGCTGTATCCTCGCCCACCACGCCGTGGGCTGCAGCCCCTCCAAAAACCACAATCGCCACCACCAACACAAGCCACTGCACCATTTCGATGGTTCGTTTGGTCCATGGAAAAGTAAATGAAGATATACCAAATCTTCCGTAACCACTCGAAACCAACCAAACAAACAACAACAACAACAACAACAACAACCAACAACAACAACTAACAACAATGGATGAAGATGAACGGTGGGACGATGTTGTTGCGGCGGTGAAGGAAGGTAGCAAGCTGGGAGGGGCACGGCGTGTCCAGCAGGAGATCCCAGTGAAGAAGCCATACGAAATCGGACGCGCAGTGCTTGGTTGGTGTATTATGTCGTCGTGCTCGTGTGTGTGTTGATGTTGCAGCGGTGGGTGGTTGTTTGGGAGAGTGGACGTGCAAAGTTGTGCCCACAGCCTGCCGATCTGCTTATCTCATTCCTATTTACACACACAACACACACACACACACACACACACAATACACACAACACACACAACACACACACGCACAATATTGGCGGTCGCTTGCAGGATCACACACCAGTGCGTGGGGTAGTACGGCTCCCGAGGGTGATGCCGGCGAACATGATGACGGTGAGGACGAAGATGATGATGTCAGTGACGATGATGTCAGTGATGGCGACGCGTATGATTCGCCCGCAGCCGAAGGTACCGCTGCACATGCTTCCTTGCCGTCGCAGCTGCAACGAGCCAGCAGAACACGCAATGCCGTTGTGCAGCGCACCACCGTGCTGGAGGACGATTCAGATGACAGCAACGCCAACGATGATGATGATGATGATGGCGATGATGATGAGGAGGGTCCCGAGCGCACATCGCGACGAGACAGCGACACGGGGTTTGCGTCTCGTCTTCGCCGCATCAGCCGCGGCCGGGTCAGTGGCGATGGCAGTGATAGCGATGCCAGCGCCTTTACGGACGTGATGCCGTCGAAGAAGCGTGCCCGATCAAAAGCAGGCGCATCGCGCCGAATGCACGTTGACGTGGTGCGTATTTGACTCGGCCGCCAAGCTGTTGTGCTCCACATTTCGAGATGGGCTGCTTCACATGTCTCCAAAGTGTTGTTGGTCCATACACACACACGCACGCGCTCTCTCTCCCTCTCTTTCTCTCTTGCACACCACAAACCGCTCACATGCACACCACAAACACACGACACTCATCTACACACACATACGCACACACAAACCACAAACAACGCGCTTGCTGTTGTGTACGTGCTTGTCTGCTGCACACAGGCCCGACCGCTGCTTGCTCGCTATCGCAAATCAACTGCAGGTAACATGCGTCTCTTTGCATGAACCATTGATGCAACCCCGGATATTACACATGAACGATCCTCCTGATCAAATACCCACTATCACGGGTTTAACATGACATTTTCGGCTGCTTTCCTTGCCCTTGTTGTCTGTCTGGTTTGCGCTGGTTGCAGTTGGGATTGCGCTGACCAAAGCAGATGTTGGGAAGCGCGTGAATGTCGACGGTTTTGGCCACGGTGTTCTCCAATATGTCGGCACAACAGGTGTGATGGTGACGCTCCAGCTTATGGCTGGAGAAAACCATGACGACGAAGGCATGGAGGAAGGGAGAGTTTGATGAGTCAAACCGCCCTATTCGTTCAATGTGCAGTGTTCTCACCAGAGCATCTGACACTTGCTCTGATCTTCTTCGATGGCATATGCACACACCCACTCCATAGAACGCTCACTTGCACGCACACACACGCACACACGCACGCACACACACACACACATATATGCATACACACACATTTATGCACACACAAAAAACCCCCCGCTAGAGTTTGAGCGGCAGGCTGGAGTGTGGCTCGGCGTTGAACTGGACGATGCAAATGGACGACACAATGGAACAGTGGACGGTACACATCGCTGCATTGGTTGCATTTGCCATGCCTGCAACACCCCCCCCCCCTGGTGACTGCTGTGCTGAAAGTTGCGGCAGCTCACGAGAGCATTCTGCCATTCATGCCTCACGTGCTCACAACTGCACACAACGGTCCCCATCCCTGTCTGTTCAGGTGTGCGGTACTTTGATGCAAAACCAAACCACGGCCTGTTTGTGAGCATGCGCTCTGAAAAGGTGCACGTGCTACCAACCGCCCTCCAGTCAACGAAGGAACAGGTGGGGTGAACACATGATGAAGTATGTGTGTATGTGTGTGTGTGTATGTGCGTGTGTGCGTGTGTGCGTGTGTGCGTGTGTGCGTGTGTGCGTGTGTGCGTGCGACGGTGCGGCTTAATACCAGCTATTCTGTGCGTTGTTGTGTATGTGTGTGTGTGTGTCTCAACTGCACATGTGCGCTTTGCATTGCAACAGGAGCCGCAAGCGCGCGATGCAGCCAGCCACGATGGCGGTGGCGATGACGACCAAGACGATGAAGCGGACACCGTGTCCAGGCCATTCCTGAAACAGGCCTGGCACGCACCGACACAGCCATCCACATCAGACATTCCAACCTCGCTACCATCAGGTCTCACTTGTCAAACGTGTGTGTGTGTGTGTGTGTGTGTGTGTGTGTGTGTGTGTGTGTGTGTGTGTGTGTGTGTGTGTGTGCGTGCGTGGGTGTGTGTGGGATGTGCATGAAGCTGCACGTGTGCACATGTGCGCACATTTGCACACGCATGTGTCAGCATGAACTTGTGTGTCCTCGTTCCGTGCACGACCATGAACGCCGAACGCCTAACGCGGTGCCACTCGTGCGCCACAGCTGCGTCGCCATTCGCTGTGAAGCAGATTGCCGTCAAGCCCCCGGCATCCTCGCGACCGCACGCTGCTGAAGACGACCACGACAGCACCGAGCACAGATCACGTGAGGTGTTGGGGGACCGTGACCACCACGTGCATACTGCCAGCACGAGCTTACCATCACAGGCTCAGAGGCAACCACACGCATACGACCAACAACACCAACCACAGCAACACATGCAACCACAACAGCAACACATGCAACCACAGCAGCAACAATCACATGTGCCGTCCCAGCACCTGCAGGGCGAGATGAGGACAGATGATGAAGACCAACTGCTGGATGCGGCTGTTCCAGAGGGACCGCCACAACACCTTGGCTCATTCTCAACCACCGTGGCTGATGTACGAACGACTGTGGAGGGCAATAGCAACAGGGATGGCAGAGTGCAGCTCGAAGACATTCAACCACAACCACACACATGTTGTTCATGTTTTCATTCACACATGTTCTCACTTACATTTTCCCACTCACTCCCATATACGCGCACACAACAACACACATCACGCAACACACCATCCACACCCTTATCTCCTTCTTCGCAGGTGACACCGCTGCACAGGGCAGCAGCCCTCGGGGACGAGTCTGTCCTGCAGCAGATATTGGAGGAGACGCAGCTGCCGGTGGATGTTGTCGACCAATACGGCCGCACACCGCTCATGTACGCCGTGCACTGCGGCAACACGCAATGCGCGCACCTGCTGCTCACACAGGTCTGCATATTGGCGGTTTGAGCTCGGGTTGGAACTCATGCGTTTGTTTGTTTGTTTGTTCGTTTGTTTGTTTGTTTGTTTGTTTGTTTGTTTGTTTGTTTGTTTGTTTGCTTGCTTGTTTTTGTTTCTTTGTTTGTGTGTGTATGTGAGGGGGGGGGGGTGCTTGTCGCTTTGCCTGTTCCTCTGCCTTAGCTGCAACGTGCAATTCAACCGCCTGCGTTGTTCCTGCTGTTCCTTGTATTCTTCAGGGCGCTGATGTCAACCAGTGCGAGCGCGTGTCCGGTAGCACCGCCTTGCACGACGCTGCATACCATGCCACCCCAGTCATGGTGTAAGCCCCACTGCGTGCGTGTCTCAAATGCTGGAACTGCGCGTGTCTTTGGCGTGTCCATGCTTCGTTCAATGCGGTTTCCATCCTGGCATCTTCATCTCAACCACTGTCACCGCCACCACCACTGCCATCGATGCTGCCTCTCCATCCCCTGCAGACTGCTGCTGATAGAGCATGGTGCGGATGCGGTGCTGCGTGACACGGAGGGCCGGCAGCCCGTGCACTGGGCGACAGACAATCCAAACGCAGAGGTGATGAGTGTTCTTCTCAACCGCGTCCCAAACCTCGACATCAAGTAGGGCCAATGGGGACTTACTCGTGGTGGTGGTGGTGA